TCAGTTGATTTTGAAAGTTGATTATAATACTCTGAGCTGAAAAACAGACCTCACAGAGACAAAATACTTCTAGTCCATAATATACATATATTTAGGGTGAAGTTCATTGTAGATGACAGTGGATGTAAAATCTTATTTCAAAGAATTATCTTAATTATTTTGAAATTATGGGGGAACTTCTTGCCAGGTCTATTAAAGTGTCATTGTTTTTATCTGTAATTTGGCTGACAAAAAGCTAGTACTAGACGTGGACTTACCAGCTCTGCCATTTTCTTGTTGCTCACATGTGCTTGGATTATTGTTATTATTGTCCAGGCTTCCTTACAGGAGTCTTTTAAGTCACATCCATTTTATAAGAGTTAGTTTAGTGAAAACTAGATAATACATAAAACAACTCTAATACTATCTTCTTTTATTCCATGTGAGCTTTGGGTACTCTCCTTTGGGTGATATGACACAAATATATTTGAAACCCCTAACCAATCAGACTCTCCAATGCTTTCCAGAGTAGAACTGGATTTGAAGCCAGGACTAATTTTCCATGGCCATCCCAGGTCAAATAAGATTCTTAGGTTCTTATGATCTGGGCCTTCACCCAAAAGCTGATCCAAAACCAACCTTCAGGGATGGATGGACAAGTATAATCTTTCCAGAATACTTACCCTAATACATTTTATCATACAAAGACAATAAACAGTAATACTTTCCTGTCTTATACAACATTCATTCACTCATATAAGAAACATTTGTAAATGTAGGCATCTTACTGACACAATCACTTACAAGTGTTATCTTAAATATGCTATACTGTACTTGCATTTGCAGAAGTGCTGAAAGGAAAAGTGTGGTTTGTGCCCCATCGGGTGGCCAAACTGGAAATTTCAAACAAGTTCCAGCAAGGCCAGTTAACCCTAACTAATCAACAGAATACCTTTGGGAAACTGAAGCCTGCAACACAAGTGTTCTCATGGGAGAGTTCTATAAATGAAAATCACAATAATGTTACAGCAATGTTTCCTTACACTTGAAAATGAGGGATGTGCAGTTTATCAGAATCCTTTCCCAAACCTTGCAACAAAAAATTAATCCATGACTATCTGTTTTTATCTATTTAAGTTAAACAAAAGCGTTTCATTGGGTCCGCTTTAAATTCACAGATTAAAATCTTATCAAAAATTTTTGAGAGGACACTATTAATTTAAAAGGATGCTATTAAGAGTCGTTTAAATTCTTTCCTCTTCAAATATCAAACATAGTTAAGACATAAACACATCAGAAATTTAGAGCTCGATGGGTCCTTAAAAAATGTAGGGCTATGAGCTTAGAAACCATCAAGTCTGGTTCTCTCACTTTACAGATGCAGAACCTAAAGCCCAGAAAGAGGAAGTGACTTCATCAGGGTCACACAGCTAGGCTAGGGTGACCTGACTCCCACTGCCACTGCTTAAACATCTGTGCTCAAGAAACTAGCTATCTATATATGATCCTGGACAAGTGACTTAACCTCTCTGGACCTTGGTTTCCTCGCCTGAAAAAACAAGGAGGTACATAATCTCTAAAATTCCCTTTAAACGCTAAAAGCCTAAAATGTAGATACCTCATTATTTTAGTATCTTACAAAATGACAGTATACACTGAAAAAACCATTCCTGGTTCCTGAGAAACCAGAGCAGCACAGGACCCTTGGGAAGAAAACACAAGTCAGCAGCCTCAGGCACCAAATATGTTTGCTTCTTTTGCTAATATTCTGTAAAATATTAACATGGCCATACTAGTCTATTTGGTTGAAACTGGTTTAAGTTAATTTTAATTAATCAATTACAGAACTCTAAAATATACAATCACTGATTCTAAATTAAAAAATTTATTCTAAATTACAAAAATTTATTAATGTTTTATTTTATATGCCAAGATTTAGACTCGAATAGATCACTGGAACCAGGAACAGAATAGTCTGCTCATTTGTGTTTATTCTTTCTAAAAACTATTCAGAAATAGACCACATAGATTTTCTTTACATGGTTCTCCATGTTGCTCTCTGCTTTTATGCTTCATTATTCTGCCTATTAAAGACAGTCTAGGAATGTCACAATTTATCTTTAAATTCCAAACTCCAATAATTTTCAGGATATTGATGGATCACTAACATAATAATTTTAACAGTCCAAGGAATAAAAACCATTGAAAGTTAAATAAAAAAACCTATGAACTACAATAGACCCTGAAAAGCTCTGGCCCCATATTCTTATTTTATGGAGGAGGAAAGAGCCCTAGAAAGGCAAAAAGGCTGTCCCGAGGGTCTCATGGCTAACATACACAAGAATTAGCACTTATCGTGTGACCATGTACACGCAATATACATATAATTATGGACGTAAAACAAAATTTTCAGCTTCTATCCAATGCTCTGCTTATTTCAAGTAAATTTAATATAGTGAAATGACATTAAAAAAACCAAAGAAGCTGAAGCATAGTGGTTTATAGCACTAACGAACACCCACCCTAGGTTAGAAATCAGGGGTAATACCCCCAAATTTCACCACCGGGGCTTGAAAAACAAATTCAAGTGTTTGTTCTACTGTTTCCAGAGCATCATCTTCACACATAAGAAACTACATGTTACTGCATTACAAGAAGGATTCCTTTCTCTAGCAAAGGCTAACATCTCTTATGATGTCCTTTTTTCCCCTAAGTTTTTAAACTGCCAAAATTTCTGGACTCCAAATACTCTTATTTATGCCTCTTTTAAGTATTTTTAAAGGAACAGTAACCAGCTCTCGAGAAACGACATATAACACACACAGATCCCAACCCTATTAACAAATGTCTTTAATGGCACCAATTCACAAAGAAAAAATGCCCCTTATTTAATGTTGCCTACCAAACAATGAGTTTATCCAGGACCGGAGTCACATATTAGGGACTCTCTGCAGAATAAAATTTTAGTTATTCACAATAAATGAATTTTTAAAAAAATAATTTATAATTGGCCCAGGCAAGATAATGAATGCAGCCACGCATATGCTCAGGTATTTGGTCCCTCTGTGATCAACCTAGAGTCACCATTGAGGATGAGTATCCAAATGGACTATGTGAATGAGGAGTCCCAGAATGTGACTCCTGTCCTGGGTAGTCCTGTCCCAGAATGTTAGTCCAGTCACAAAGCTGACATTACAAAGCAAGAGGTAATTGCATTTTCAAAGTAAATCATATGCTTCCTCTTCCAGCCCCAGATATTCCAAATTAATACAATTCTATGAAACAGTTAAGTGCTGTCATACTTAAAATGAATCATAGCATACAGCCACTACTACTTCTGCCCAAATCAGGCATTCCGTACTCTATAACAAGTATAAGATGTTGCTTCAGCATGCTGTGTCCTACGCCTCTATGAAGAACTGGCAGTGGTGCTGAAAATTACTACTAGAAAGATGAAAGACCAATACCCTCCTTCAATAAAAACCATCATCTGGACTCTAGCCAAGGTTTTAAAACTGACCGAATGTTATTAGAAATAATAAATCAAAAACTCTACAGGCTGAAAATCTAGTCTCTTATGTCATTCTTACAAGTGTAGCCACAAAACACTATAAGAAAATTAAGTGACAAGAAGGCATTAATAATTGTAGGCCTTTCGTTTCTCACAATAACCAAATGCTGTATGTTACAAGGTGGATTTATTTTACAATCTCCAATGTTCTGTTTAACCTACCTACATCACTTTCCCTGTGTTCTTCAATTATTACAACTGCTACATGAATAAATAAACTCGTGCTATTGCCTAAGCATCCTATCACTGAACTTAAACAGAAATTAAATAGAGAACTAACATATTTTAATTCATAAAAATCTACCTAGCATTATGTGTGTTCATATGGATTTTATACTCTTTGTTCTTGCACGTAACATAGATGTGAATTCCTGGAGCTTACAGATAAGTCTTTCCTTCTCTATCCAGGCACTGAATTTGCCAGCTACTGAGAATAACCTATTGCAATGCTTCAAGCCCTTCAGGTATCTTGCCTTCTGAATCTGTACGTGGGTTCATTATCTTTACTTTTCCCTGTGCTACGGTTCTATTCCTTATAACTATTAAAAACCCTCCAGGAGCTGTTATCACAGAAATTGGGGGGGGCGGGGGGGCGCAAGATCTCTGTAATACACAGGTACGTTTTAAAAGTAACATTGTTTATAATACAGGACTTTCCCCCCTAGTTAAAAATTGTAGGGAAAATAACCTGACAATTTTAATACTTCTCTTTCCTCCTTCCTCTTCCCCCTTCACTCCATTCCAAAACAACAGAGGAGCCAAAACCAAAGATGTGATTACTTTGTAGACTTCATGCAATCAGTTAAAAAAAAAAAAAAGAGTCGCCGTCTTCTTATTCAAACAAAATAGTTGATTACCATACATTTGCATACAATGACCACTATCTATGCGATATATATTTAAACCAAGTTTCAACCTTGTTCCAAAGCCTTTGTCAACAGTGGGCAAGTGGAGAAAAGCTGAAGGGCTCTGTGGAAAGGAAGGAAATCGCTGGAGGGTCTTCTCTCGGAAGAGAAGGGTTCCTTACGAGAGGTGAGCAAAAGGAAACACGAGCTAACCTTGCCCAGGGGTCGCTCGCCAAGGGTGGGGACCAGAGGTCAGGGTGAGTGGGGATCGGGGGATGATTCGAGCGGAACCGCAGCGACCCTGGGCTCCCCACCTGCGGCTCGCCCTCCCACCACCATTGCCAAGCCCTGGCCAGGCTGTGCCCTCCCGGCCCGCCGCCTTCATATCCGTTACCCCGGCGGCAGCGGGGCCGCGGGGGAGGGGAAGGTCAGCGGGGCCCGGAGGGGGCCGGCGCGACGGGGATGCCGCAGTGGCTCCCCGCGACACCCAGGCAAAGTCCGCCCGGACGCGGGGCGGCAGCAAGAGCGGAAGGCGGCCGTGGAGGTCGGGACTGGCGAGACGGTGGCCCCTCCGAGTCCTCCCACACCCCGGCCGCCGCCGGTACCTCATACTGGATGTACTGCTTCCTCCACTCGGGAGTGATGTGCGCGGAGAGGTGCTCAGCGAACTTCATCCTGACGTTTCCCCCTCACTTCCACTCGTGTCCAGCAGTTACGGGAGGCGGCAGCGACGGCGGCGGCGGCAACAGCGAATCCGACTCCTCCCCACATGGGCCCCGGCGCGGCGCGGCGCGGCGCTGCGCTTCTCTCCTCCTCCGCCGCCGCCGAGGTCTCCTCAGAGCCGCCCTCCCGCCATCTTCCTCCTCCTCGCCATAGCCCCGCCCCGCCCCGCCCACTATACGTCATCGCCATGGTAACCGCCTACGCCGCGCCGACGAAAGGGGCGGAGTAAAAGGGCGGGATTTGGGCGCATTCCTTAAGGTTCCGCCCCTCCTGGGCCGGACGTGCTGGAGGCACCTCCCCTGACCTCTGCGGTCTGGCTCATTTTGGCCTTCAGCTGCCTGGGAAGCTGCAATGTTGTTATTGCAGTTAATATTAACACTGTAGCAACAATAATCCACACAAGACATTTATATTTTGAAAGAACTGTGCAAATATTTTTCCTTTTCATATTCATTCTTCATAAAACACATAAGGATGGATCAGAATTAATCCAAAATGTATAACTAAAACAGACTAAATAGTTAAGAGCCAAATGTATTTAAAGGAACCAGATTTCACACGCTCTAGGTGCTCAATAAATGCTTGTTGTATTTCATTAAACACATCAGTGCCAAACATTGCGTGCTGCTTCTGAATTTCAATATAATTATCCAGTCCTAGGTCTACCGGAAAGGTCAGTAACAACGCCTGGATTCAAACCAGGCCTGGGGGGTACCAACTGAACTTGGGAGTGAGCTTTCTGAGGATTTGAGGTAGGGTTGAGAGGGAAACTAGTGTTGGGAAGAAAGAGAATCTCCTAGAGGCACCACAGCAACCCAGGGAGAACAGAAATGGGTCCAGAATCGAGGTTGAACTGTCTTCCAGGACCATGGGGAATAGATCACTCACACAGCTTGGCACTACTTTGTGAGAGTGATTGTCCTGGAAGACATGACTTGGGACAGAAACCCAGGTCCTTCCCCGAATGGAGGAGCCCTAAGTAGTAATAATAGCATTTAGTAAGCGCTCACTGTCCATGTACTGAACACTATTCTAAATCTCTTATAGGTACTTTGTTTTTTAATTCTTACAATTTTGATGAGACCCAAAGAAACTACAGGACTAGTATGACTGGGACAGTATTCTGAGATCAATCTCTGATGTTGGCTTTTTTTCCCTCCACGGATTTTTCCCTTTCCCAACCTCTTAATTCGTGCCATTAGACGTTCTGCAATCATTTTCTCTGGAGAGGGATGAGGCATGATGGAAAATAGGCATAGGCTAGGAGTCTTTCTGACTTTTGTTATACAAAAGCCTCAACCTCTGGTGAAAGGGTAAACGGGGTCAAAAAAAACAAGGCAGAGGAGGAGGAGCAGGAGGAGGAAGAGGAAGTGGTAGAGGAAAAGGAGGAGAAGTGAGGATTCCTCTCACCTCAGCACCACACCCTCTGCCCACCATGACAATTCCCCTCTACTGCAGGTAAATGTTGCCAGGAGGAAGAGATAGGCAAAAGAGAGGTTTATGCTCCCAGGATGAAGGCACAACCACAGAGAGGAAATGGCTGCTTGGTGTGTCTAAGAAGACAGACCCAGGAGCAGCTGCAAAAGAGATTGCTTAGCCTTTTAGCAAGATATGGACTAGAATGGTAGACTCTTAGCAGCAATTCCTGTAAACTGTAGCATCCTGCTCCAACAGCCCCATATCTTGGTGTCTTAGCTGTGCACAAGATCCTGGAACCATGGTCCAATCCAGAGAAGAAAGGAAATCCTCAAGACTAGCTCTATAACCAATAATTCTTAATTTTTCTCATGCCTGATCCAGAGCCCTGACACTCAGTTGGACATGGAAATTCTAATTTAGGTACAGAAGTAGATTTAATAATAAGTTTCCTTATTCCTACTATTACTTCAGATATTTCACTGACACAGCCATCAAATACTTAGTATTTATTGAACACCTACTTTCTGTAGAGCACTGGACTAGGTACTATGAATAATAATCTGAATAGTTTTACTCTGAATCAGAAAGGTCCCCGGCCTTACACGCTCTTTTTCAAACAGGCAAATAACTCTTTGTTTAATAAAACTTTATTGGGCACTATGATATACCAGTTATGCCACTTTGGGAATGAAAGACAGTTCAAGACTAAATAAGACTGCCTTCTCCTTGGAAGACAACACAATTCAGTCAGAAAGACAGGCAAATAGAGCAATAGCTAGATTGCAGTGTGATATGTCCTATAATTGAAGCATGTACAAGGAAACAAACATCCAACTGAGTGGGAAGATAAGGATGTTGTCTTAGAGAAGGTGATTTTGAAATACAGCCTTAAACAACAATCTGACAAGGATAAAGACACCCCAATAATCTCAAAAGCAAAAAGCAAGAAGTCAGGATTGTTAAAGAATGGCAAGAAGTTGTCTGACCAGAATATCCCTTAAGGCAGCACAATGTCCCCTCCTCAAAGAAACTCTCCCTCTACCCTCCTTCCTCTCCCTTCCCTAGTCCGGCCCCCACATTCCCCTTGGTGCACTCCCATCACTGTATTGTCAGTAATAATCTGTGTCAGACTATGAGCTCCTTGAAGACAAATTGCTTATTTCTCTTGTTTTCTTCAGCTTAGCATGGTGCCTGGCATTCAAACATTCAATAAATGTTGAAGGAACAAAGGAAAGAAAGAAGGAAGGAAAGAAGGGGAGAGGGAAGGAAGAAGGAAAGGGCAGTCCACCTGGAGGGAAGTTGCAGGAAATACAGTTAAGTTGCAACTAGACTGTGAAGGCATAGACAATGACAGCACAGGCAGTGCCGGGTCTTTGAAGTTTAAGCAGTAAGTGACTAGCTCAGGCTTGGAAAAGCAGTATAGTGTAGCTTCCTGGTTGTGGACGCTGGCTCAGGGAATAGACAGACCTGAATTAAAATCCAAACTCTGGCATTTATAATCTGTGTGACCTGGGGCAAAGTACATTAGCGCTGAATGCCTCAGTTGTTTCATCTCTCAAATGGGAATACTAACTTCTCCCTAACAGGTTGTTATGAGGATTCAATGAGATTCTGCATATAAAGCACTTAGCATAATGACTGACCTCTGATTGACCACTCAAAAATTGGCAGTCCCTTAAAAACTTCCATTATCAGGGTGAAGCATGGCGTAGAGTGGAAGCATACCAGAGAGCAATTTATTAGCAAGCACCTAGGCAGAGCTTACCCTGTGCCAGACACTGTTCTAAGTGCTTTATAAATATAAACTTATTTAATCCTCACAAGGACCCCAGGAGGTAGCTACTCTCATTATCCTCATTTTAGAGATGAGTAGACTGAGACAGAGCAGTTAAGAATCTTGCTCAAGGTCACCCACCTAGTAAGTGGTAAAACTGGGTTTGAACACTGACAATCCAGCTCCAGAGTCCTTGGTTTTGACCACTACGTTATGCTGATTGTTGATGCAACAATCCATGCCAGTCGTAGTGATGGACAGAAGGGGGTGTGACATGTGACTGTAACTCTAGTGACTGGGTAGATGCTGCTACTATGAACTGAAATAAGAAATGGAAGTGGAGGGCAGGTTTGGAGGGCAAGATGTGTTAAATAGTTAGATATCGATGAGACATGCAGCACTCCAATGGAAGATACAGATCTAGAGATCTGGAAAGAGATGGTAGGGCTGAAGACTGAGGAGCTATTCACATTTAGGTGATAATTAAGTATGGCAGGTCTGCCCAGAAAGAGAGCAGACACTGAAATGGAAAAGGGCCCAAGGGAACATCTTGGTGTGAGCCTGATAGAAAGCCAAGGCAAGGAGGGAGGCCAGAGCATGGCCGGAGTGGGCGTGAGACAAGAGAAAATGGTGTCAAGGAAGTCATACAATGGTGACATTTTCATAAAGTGATAAAAAAAAAAAGTCAGATTCTACAGAGATGTTGAGTAGGGTGACTTCTAGGCCATGGGTTTAGCAATTAGTGTCATTAGTAACCTCAGCGAAACTGACTTAGACAGCATGAAAGGCTGCAGAAGGCTGAGCAGTAAGCAGCATTTTGTTTTTGTGTATCCTAAATTATATTTATTCTGTGTACATGTTGTAGGATCACCAGCAGTGAGAATTTAATAATATACTCAGCTATTTATCTAGAAATTCATAAGTGCTGAGTCTGAACACTTTATATTTATCACATATAATTTTAAGTTTGGGAACAGTTATACTTACCACAAAGTAACTGTTCTAAAACTTAGAATTATGTGTGAGAAATGTAAATATTGCTCTGTTGCTTGAGCAAATGAGACTGGTGATCATGCTGAAGGGTGAGGAACTGACCTGCAGAGGGCTCAAATCTTAAGCTACACCTCCCACTGAAGCTGAGTAAGAAGGATTTCAGAATGGTTCTTTCTGGGTTAGAGATTTCAAGTGATTTTCACACCTTGTATTTTTCTGCGGTGCTTTCAATTTTTACAAAGTGCATTTATCAATTCTACAGAAACAATAAGTGTTAAGTATTTCAGTCACCCCCAAACCAGTGATATCCCAGGAGTACCATTGCAGTATTTGATGCTGCAAACCACAGGGAAGAAAACACTGGATTAGGAGAATCAGAAAATCAAGGGGATGGAAACTCAAGCAAGAGTCCAAGAAAGGCAGAAGAGTGCAGACAAAGGGAGGGATTAGCCTTCAACATCATTTGAGGAGATACTTGACATCTCTTGAGACTTGGGGGTGGGGTAATAGTAATGATTGAGGCAGACATACATGAGTTTGTAGATAGAGGGGAGGGAGTTTATGAGTTAGGGAATTTAGGAATTTAGGGAATTAGGGAAACTCCCTCTCTGTAGGAGACAAGCTCATTCGTTTTCTTGGGAAAATGGGAGCAGAACTGGGCACAAGGTATGCGAGTAGCATCTTAAGTTTGGAAACTATTCACTTGTAATGGAATCAACAGGAATGATTTTATCAATTCTTTTAAGCAGTACTCAGCAGTCTACGAGGAGGAGATGAGGGAAAGGTTAGTTGGATTGCTCCAAAGTTAGAAACTGCCTCAGGACAAAAGAGATAAAGACATTGAAGTATTAATGGAAACAAAATAATAACTAAAATTTCTTGCATTTCACATGCATTATTTAATTTAATCTTCATAACAATGAATAAGGATAAAAAGGGCATTAGGATAAAACACTAGATATTATCATCTTCATTGTACAGATGAGAAAACTGAGGCTTAGAGGGTAGGGTGGGCATTTGCCAGGGTTGAGATCTGCCTTCCAAGATGGTGAGATTCCCCCATCCCTTAGGTCTCGTTGGGAGGCAAAACCCCAGCTCCCACTAGGCCTAAAGTGGGCAGATATCCCTATATCAGTTCTTTGACAGGAAGCATGTGGCCCAGATTTGGCCAATCAGATGCTCCTACCACGGATCTTGCCTCATATGGAAGTCCTCAAAGACTCAGCCATAGATAGAGCACATTCCCAGAGGCTACAGCAGATTTAAGAGTCTAGCAGTGAACATGTCAGAGGGCATCCAAAGTTGGATTCCCAAAGGCAGGGTCCTAACCGGATTGTTTCTCTGATATGACCTCTGCTCTCTTCTTGGTTGTGAGCTTTTCTTGTCTTCTGGCTTTTTCTCTGTTTTACCTGCCTTCATGCTGATACTGTGAGCAACCCAAAGCCATCCAGTAAAATCTATTTAAGTTAATCTGAGTCATAATTTCCTGTGTGTAGCCAGGAACCCTGGATAGGTCACAGAGGTTAAGAATTTTGTCTATAGCTGTTGCTGAGGAGGTGCTCAGTAATCATATACATAATGATTTTCTATGAATGTCAGTCAGCCTCTACCCCCCCCCCAACCACCCCAGGCTTGGTCAAGGGGCTCATAGATCAAATGGTCATAGTAGCAAGGGATGGAGGATATGCAGGGGCTCAAAAATATTGTCTTTCCCTTACCAAGGCCGATCTGCCATCAGGGACCAATGCTGAGTCCCTAATGTAATACCATGTTTGGGGTGGGGTAGACCAGCCAGATGTCTGGTGGCAGGTTGATTATATTGATCTCTTTTTATCCTGAGAGTCGGGGAGAGAAGCAGTAACTTATCTTCACCGGACTACATAGTTATTCCAGATATGGATTTGCCTTTTCTGCCAGCTATGTTTCTGCCAGCAATGCTGTCTGCGAATGTCTTTATTTACCATCACAGTGTCCCATTCAATATTGCTTCTACCAAAGAAGTGAGACAAAGGGAAGATGTCTGTAGATTTCACTGATCTCACCATGTATCCCATCACCTACAAGCACATGCTTTTACAGAATGATATTATAACTTCCTGAAGACTCAGTTATGGTAATAGTCAGGAGACAATACTCTGAGTAGTTGGAGTGCTGTATTATAGACTATAATAATGCTCTAACCAGTATCCAATATATGGTGCTGCTTCTCCCAGTCAGACTACATGAGTCTAGAAAGGAGTAGAATTATTATTAACTATAAAAACCAAATCACATAGTTTTTTTATGTCTGTTTTCATGATGCTTGTCTCTCTGCTGGCTTAGAAGGCTTAAAACTCAAAGAAAGTTTCCTCCCAACTAAAGACTCCATGATTCCATTAAAGGGGAGGTTGAGACAGCCATCTGGCCAAGGTGGGTTCTTTTTGATATTAAATCAGTAAGGAAGAGGGGGTTCCTTATGGCTGGAGTGATTGGTCCTGATTTTCAAGGGGAAACAGAGTTTCTACTACAAATGAAATGATGGGTATGAGCGGGTCTAAAACCCAGAGGAACCTCCAGGGCACCTCCAGTGGTAAAAGTTAATTGAAGACATACCAACCTAATACAGGCAGGATCACCAAGAGTTCAGACCCCTTAGAATGAAGGCTTGTGTTATCCCCATCAGATAAAATAGCACAATTAGCCGAGGTGCTGGCTGAAGGTACTAAAAGGAATATGAGATAGGAGTGGAAGAAAGTTATAAATACCAACTATGGGCTTGGGACCAGATGCAGAAACAAGGTCTGTATTAACTACCCCATTTTCTTCCTCACTTTGTGATTCATAGAGTAACAAACGCCCTTTGCTTTGCTTACCCTTTCCTTTTGCTCTAGCATTACATGTTACTGTGTGGGAGGTGGTGAATTTTACAAGTTAGGCCTCAGGATGCAGCACATGAAAGTGGTATTGTGACCAAACTGGAGGAGGCATAAACACATCCCCTTGGAGCCAGGAGTTCCTCTAGGGCCTTCCTGATTTCTCAGGGAATAGCCTACTCCTCTAGCTCGTCCAATGACTTTGTAAGCACCCAATTCTCTGTATTCGGCCTTTCCTGCTTAAAATTGCCAGAGTGGTTTTCTGTATCGGTACCTCAATCCTGACCAAAAAGCAAAACAAACAAAACACTGCACACAATGAAAAAGTATGACATGCTTGTTTTATTGAATCAAAATGATCGTGGAATAGTGGTTTAGGTTATTCGTTCTGCTTTAAAAAGAGGTGGGTTTTTTTTCTTTTTATTCAAGTTATAAAAATTGCTGTAGGCCATTATGTAGCTCACTGTGACATGGCTTTGTCTTTTATGAGTCTCACAGATGTTTTGATCAAAGAAGAATAGCTGTTTTCTGCCAACCCTTATGTCTTTAAAGTTGGAGAAACCCCCTTTCCCAAATGCAGCTAGGTCCTTAGGGACAAGAACCATTTCTATCTTATTCACTCTTAACAGCACTTAACACAGTAGACTCCACGTAGCAATATAGTAGATCCTTTAATATATGCTTCCCCCACCCCAGAAGCAATAAGCATGATAATTTTTGAATCCATGCAGATCCATTCTTGTTATGAAAACATGTTATCAGAATCTGGACACTCCCCCAACACTTGGGATGGATGGAAACTAAAACTAGAATGAGAGACCTGTGTGCAAGGGGTAAGACAGACAATCCAGGAAAGTGAGAAATCTGAAGCCTTCAGGGAATAGGGGTCTGATTATTAAATGTGTCAAAAGTCCTACTGGCATACATAAACCTTTTGGTATTCTGTTTAGTTGCAAGTACATCCAATCAAAAAATTCCCAACCGGGCTGGCTGAGTGGCATGTTGGTTAAGAGCTGGCTTGGGATGCCAGAGGGCCCCGGTTCGGATCCCACATATGAGGGCCAGTGACACTGCCCTCTACAGCTAAGATGCTGAACAACAGCTCAACCTGGAGCTGGTTGCCGTGAGTTGCAGGTGATGGCATAGGCTGCAGTCCCTGTGGCAGTGGGTTGCCATGGGCTACTGTGTGTAGCCAGCAGCCAGTGTGAGCGGCCCTCAAGCCGCTGAGAGCTGCCGTCCAGAATGGCGTCTGATCTGCCTCACCCGGGAAGAGCGCAATGAGGGTGCCAACTTGGGCCAGTGAAGCAACGTCCTCCACAACGAGACTGAAAAACAAAAAGACAGCAACTTGTCTGTTCCCCTTCCCCCAGTTCCCCAGTGCTGTTCCCATCCCCCAATTCCCAATAAAAATCTTAAAAAAAAAAAAATCCCAACCTCAGGGAGGTTTGATTTTAATTTTAGGGTTTTTTTCTTAATTATCAAATGAACACATGCTAATTTAGAAAGCACAGAAAAGTGTAAAGAAGCAGGAAAATATAGATCCATGTCATCACCCAGGAGGAACCACTGTCAACATTTGGGCCTATTAGATCTGTCATTTTAAGTTAATATAGTTGAGTAGTTACAGAAAGTGACAGGTTGGAACAGAAATGCAGCCCTCTCTTAGAATTCTTAAGTGTTCCTGACATCAGGGTACAGCGGCAAGACCCCCTCACTTCATATGACACCACCAACAAGCTACCCAAAACCTCTGACTCGGCCACTAGAACAAAGAGATGTTTTGTCTTGAGTCTGAGGGAAGGAGTTCCTCTTCTTTGCGTGACAGATTGATATTAAGAAAAACCAGTTAGGGAAGCCCAGCATGTCCTTCCTACCAGTTTACAGTGCATTCCATCTCTTGTCTTTCCAGCTGTCTTCTGAGAGCCAGGATCTGGGTAGAAGGAGGGGAAAATAGGGCAAAGAGAAGAATCAGTTAGATGTGGGGAGATAGGGAGAAGGGCGTGTCTGTAGCAAGTTGAGTATGTCTGTGTGCCTGGGAGTGTGTAAGGAGTGAAGATTGGACACATGTCATGTAAAGATAACTCTTATGGGCTCTTGTGAGTGAGGATCAAGACAGAAGCAAAGAATGAGGGAGGAGACAACAAGCAAGAGACTGTCTACTTAATTAAGAAAAAAACACATTCATCATTTCCTGCTCCTGCTCTCTGTGTATCTCTGTAAGCGGCTTTCTGGTGACAGGAAAAAAAACAAAACACAAAAAAACCAACAACTTTTATTTCGCAAACCCTGAAGTGGAACACAGTTCTAGGCAAAGCACACGCCAAAATGAAAGTTGAGTTTTCTATCTGCACGTGAACTGGAGGCTTGGGCCTTGCTCCGCGGTAGTTCCCCTGCAACACAGTGGGACAGATTCTCAGTGGCGACTGCAGTGCCAAGCAGGTAACTAACTTCCAGATGACTTGGATTAGAACCTACCTAATTCAGTGGTCTATAGTGGTTCATGCTTTCTTTTTATACTGCCCTTAGGAGGAAACTTGCTGACTCTGTCTCCAAATTATGTCTTGAATGCGTTCACTTTTTCTTGTCTCCATAGCACCAGTCACTATATGCTCTCACCTCAACCGGAATATTCTAGTAGTTTCCTAGCTGGTTGCCCCCTCCTGGCCCTACTCCATTGTCCACACAACAGTCCAAGCCATCTTTTAAAACATAAATCCCATCACTCCTCTCTCCTGCTTAACATCATTCAGTGCTTCCCATGGCACATGTGAATCCTTACCATGGCCATGTAGGATCTAGTCCTGGCCCTCCGTCTCCTTCATCTTGTCTCAGCTTCCTCCTCATTCACTGTTCTCCAGCTTCACGCGTCTTTTTTCAGCTTCTTTGATGCATCAAGCTCTTTTTAACCTCAGAGCCTTTCCATATGCTACTCTCCTGCATGAGATAATCTCCTCCCCACTTCTTACCCTTTGAACTTCAGCTTAACTATCATCGCCCATCCACGCCCAATCGAATTTAGGTTCTTCTTATTATGCATAGTGCTCCATACATTTCTTTTACCGTTCTTATTAAAGTTTGTGAATACATATTTACTTGCAAGGTCGTTAAGGTTCGGGTTCCCTAACACATGGTAGATTCTAAGAAGGCAGAGATTATGTCCATTTTGCTTCTGCTGTATCCCCTAGTGTCTGGCACAGTACCTGATACATAGGTGCTCAGTACTTCTTAAATGGGTGATTTAAATCACCTGGGTTTAAAGAGTTTAAAATGATAATTACCAAAAAGGTAACTTCCTCGTGTCTGTTTTCTGCTAATGCAGAACACAGAAGAAACACTCAACCCATAATGTTGATTGATTAGCTAACTTTAGATTGACATTTTGGGTGGGAAGAGAGGTATCACACCTGAAGGCAGGTTAGGATCAAAGACACCCAGGTATATTATGTGAACTATCATTTAATTTTTAAAAAATTAAAAATAAATACAATCCACGTACAAGACACCCCGGTAGAATTACAGTCATCTCTTTCCTTACTGCGGTGAAAGTGAGACTGTCATAGTGAGGATTAGGTACACACATTTATAATTACTTTAATGATAGGGACTCTTACAAGAAAAAGAAACCAAGACGCAAGACGTACTATGGCTGAATATTACTGGGCATGGTCGTGCTTTCTGCAGTGAGAGGCTATGATTGGCTGGAAGTAACTGGAATAAAATCAAACATCTCACTGGGTTTAGTAGGCTTGGGAAGAAGAGTAGAGTAGAAACTAAACGTGAGGTACATGGAGAAAGGCCTTAGTAGGGCCGGAGGTGATATTTCACATCTCAAACAGCAGATTCAGAAGACAGCCTAACCTAACAGTTAACAGTGATAAGTATCATGCTGTGGATTTAATTTTTATATAAAATTAATTTAAATGTATATTATAGGAAGCCATAGTCTTGACTTGAGCTGCATTCACTCTAGTATTCCTGTTGATATTTCTAGGCAGGTCTGGGTGAGCAGAGGTTTTATTTGTACCAAGGGGCACCAGCACAGCAATCAGACTGAGGGAAAGAGAGGCGAAATTCACAAGATTAGTTCAGAGCCTCGGGCTCAAGGTCAGTGTCACTGGGAAGGATGATTAAGTCCTAAACAGCATCTTTCCCTGTGATTGTCTTCTAGAGGAGCTGAACTTAGAGAGCAATATCTGCAAAAGAATGGAGAAAAACAAAGCATAATGTACAATAGATCTGTCTGCAAACTATGTGGGGAGGCACAGGTGCGGGGGGCGCTCAGGTCACAATGAGGGCCATGTGAGGACTAAGAATGGACACAGCAGACCAACTGTAGCTGGATCAGAGACGTCATGGGAGAGGATACCAGGCTCTAGTGACGTCAAGGAGATGCTGGCACCTTCAAGTGAGCATTGTCCCTCTGGTGCTTTGCGGGTTTGAAAACATTTGCAGCAGTATAGTGACCTTGGCGGCAACATGAGAGACTTTACTGTAACAAACCAAAACAGAAGAGGAGAAAAGCATGCGGAAACTAAAACTACTAGTTCATGACCACCCAGGGCTTTCAGAGATACTTGGAAGGAATATGTTACTGCTTCAATTGTGTCCCCCAGAAAGATATGTTGGCGTACTAACCCCCAGTACGTCAGAATGTCACCTCATTACAGATGCAACCACATTAAGATATGGTCCTTAGGGTGGGCTCTAATCCAACAAGAGGGTGTCCTTATAAGAAATGGAAAACATCATACGAAGACAGAGACACACCAGGAGAATGTCAAGTGATGACAGAGGCAGAGATTGGAGTGAGGCAGCTGTAGACCAAGGAATGCCAAGGACTGACGGCTACCACAGAAGCCAGGAAGAGTCAGGGCAGGAGGCAGCATGGCCCCACTGACACCTCGATTTGGCTTGTTTCCTGTGCTTTTCTGACCCTGGGTTTCTCCATAGATTTTTGAAGCCAAAGAAACACAATTTCTATATAACAATCATATAAATAACATGCCAAACTGCTAAGCTTTTATTTGCTGACTTGAATTTAGTCAGTTAATGTGCCACTATCTAGAATATTTCATGCAACTTTAAGACTTGCCTGTATCTAATTAAGTGAGATAATGTATGGAAAGCTTTTAAAACAGCACTGGCACCTAGTAAACCTATAAATATTCGGTAGAATCATTGTTATCACCTCATTATCCTGACCTTAGAGCTCTCAGCAAACTCATATCTCTTCTGTATCTGAGAGCTGCTGGGAGCTGCTGAGAAAACCTCACATCTAAGCAGTCAGGTGCCAGGCAAAATTAGACATCACCAACCTCACCATAGTCCTCCACCCTGCCTGGGTTTCCCTAGTAAATGCTCTCCCCCATTCTCCACAACCTGTATTTCAAATCACGCTTCCACAAACCTCCACCACCCTCTTTTTCTCACCTCACTCCCAGCAGGTAAGCTCAATGCCTAGCACTGAGAAAAGAGGGACCCTTAGGAAAAAAATTCCAACTCTCTCCACTAAACCTAACAAACCACGTATATCCACAGCTACCCTGGACTTCTCCTGATTTTTGGACATTCGAGGTACCCTGGCTTGTTTCTAGTCATTCTTCCTTCTCCCCTCTTCCTCATTCACACTTTCACTCCATAACCAAGTGTTGTTCATTCTACCTCCTAGATATCTTTGCCAATCCACACACTTTAGTTTATCTCCATGGGGCTATCAGCTTGGCTCATACAAACTTGATTATGTCCCTGTCCTGCTCAAATTCCTTCAGCGACTTCCTATTTCTCTACAGGTGAAAAAAGTCCTTCACATGTTTACAAGACCTCCCCCCTGCCCCAGTCCCCCCATAATCCAAGCTCTATCAGTGTTTCTAACCTCATCTCTTTCTCTGTACTTTTTATAAGGTATACTCTAGGCTAGAAAGTAACTCAAAATACCTTCACTTTCTTGTTAAAACAACTAACATTTAACTCACGCTTACTTTGTGCTGGACACATAGCAATTCATTAGTCAGGACAGCAAACCTATCAGCTCAGTGCTTTAACTATTGCCATTTAAAGATAAGGAAATAGAGGTACAGAAGTGAAGGGACTTGCCCAAACTTGCAAGGAAAGTAAGTGGTAAGCCAGGATTTGAACCAGGAACACTGGCTGTGCAGTGGACTGCACTGCGTCGCTCTCTCACCTTGTTCTCACTCCTCTAGACTCTTCCTTCAGTACCCGGCATTCGTCCTCATCCTCTTAATTCAGCTGATTTTCATGGCTCCTTCATGTCTCAGGGTAACCAGTCCTTCCTCAGGGTCAGATCTCCTTACTCCATGTCCTCATGTTTTCCTATCCTTCCCTGTTGTTATTTAACATCAAGCTCCTCTGTTAGACTACAAGCTCTGTGACAACAGGGAGCACATACGCTTTGTTCACAGCCATACCCTCAATTCTTATCATATGCCTGACATATAGTTGGTGTTCATTAAGTATTTCTTGATTGAATGAAAGAATGGACAATTCCGAATCACCTTGACGAGCTTTTATGTAAACAGAACACATGACACAGTACCTGGAACATAGCAGAGGCTTATTACATACTTACTTGATATTTTCAGGAAATGGAAAGTAGGCCGGTTTGACTAGTGTCAAGGGTGTGAAGAGAGATTTTTGGCAAATGGTTCAAGTATGTTTGGTGAGCCAAAAGAGGAGAGACTTGTATGATGGAAGGGGTTATCAGCAGTCTATAATCTTGCCAAGGCAAATATTAGCCGTTCAAATCCTTCCTACTCAGCCCAAGATGGTTTGGGGTTTTTCTTTTAACCATCATCCAATTTTCTTAAAGCACACTTCAGCAAAATGTAATTGGTGTGCCCAGGGACCTTGGCATGATCAGAAGCATGCCCTAATGACCAAGGTGAAAACAACAATCTACTGTGGGTGTGCTCTGTGTAACACAAACAGCTGCCTCCTCCCTACTTGCAAAAGGTCTATCTAAAATTCTAATCTCTCTGAGCATGGTTGAAGATTTCCTATTCCTCTCTCCTTTGGAAAAAGTAAATAATTTATTACCCTCCAACGGCTTCCTGGAACACTGGGTTAATCCCTTTAAAAGCATGCATCTGGACACCCTCACTTCATTACAGTTTCTAGACTCGAATGCTACCAGGTATATATATATTTTTCTTCATTAAACTGAGTGGTGCCGGGGAGTCTAGAGACAGCAGTCAGCAAGCCAGGTTCAAATCATTTTCTCTTTGAGGCCCTGTGTCGGCAGCCAAACCAACAGCAGGCTCAGCCTTCAAGGAGCAGTAAACTTCTTGTCACCTTTGAGTGACCCTCAACGCGAAAGCTAGAAAGAGAAGGGGATGACTTCCAGGGAGAACAGCTGATTCACCACCTGTACAAACATGCACCTAACTGGCCTGACATGAGCGTCCTTGGGGAATGGCTCTTGGCAACCAGAGGAGATGCCAACATGTGGAGTCAAGCCACTGCTCTGTCCATGCCAGCCCCACCAAAGATGGCGCTCTCTGTCACAAAACCACCAGCATCACAACGCTGCTTTCTTCCAAACCATTTTGTTAAGTCAAACCTCCACCAACTACAGGGTAGTGATTGCACAGGACTCTTGTCACAGGATCAGCGTCTTTGGCCCCAGTTTCATACCACAGGAGACACCTAGCCTTTTACAGCATTCCGGTCTATGGCTAGCTCTTAATTATATTTGCCGCCCAGAACCAGTTAATGAGGGGATACTTCGTGGCCTTTGGCAGAAACCTCAGACTCAGCAACCAAGGAACTGAAAGCCCTGACCTCAAGGCAATCTTCACACCAGCCTCCCGCCTGATGCATATTTCAAAGGTTTCCAGGTTTTAAAGCGTGGATTACCTTTGCAAATGAAAAATTGAACAAGCAAAAGCATTTAGTGGCAGGTTATTACAGTTCCAATGATTTTCAAAAGTCTGCTTGGTTTAACCGGAGGCAGAATTTCAAATGAACATAGAAATAAATATTCATTGGATTTTTTTTCATTATTTTGTGTTTATTCTACCAGGTTTAAAATATAGTATATATTGATCCCCACCTAAGGTTTCTTACCATTATAACATGCATATAACAACCTACTGAAAAAAATATGCATATTGCTACAATGTTTAATAGTTTCAGGGGCATTCACTATCCAGCCACCCCCAAAATAGGTTGTTTGTTTGTTTTATCTAAATAGGATCTTGCAATGGTAATGCAATTTGAAACTCCATTCAAAAAGCAGAGTCTTATTCTTTCAAATAATTCAAACCTTTCATTTATAAGAAAAACGATTAAAACAGAAAGTGAAAGAAATCAGTGTCTTCAGCACAAGATAGCATTTAGTCATTGCCAGCCAGGTATGTGGCAGTTTACTAGATGCCATTCATCTAAATACATTCATTGTACACCTATTATGTACCAGATGCTTTCTGAAATGAAAAGATTACAAACACACAGCCTTTGTCCTCAGACAGTTCAAATCTAGAAAGAGAAACAGATAATTCCAATAGAATGTGGCAAATATTATGGGAGTACCATACATGTTAGCTGCACTAGATGTATAGATGTATAAATGAAGGAATGAATTAACATAGATATTTACAGAGCATAATAAATTCAGCATGGAAGGCAGGCAATGGAGTTATTCAGCAAAAATGGAGCATAAAATATTTTTCAGTGAAGAAAGTTTCAGAGGATTCTAAAGACCAAACAATTTTAGCTGCAGTGTTACAAGAGAAATGAGAAGTCTTATAATACATTCAATTTACGTACAATGTGTTGGTAAAACCAGACTTAAACACGAAACACATATGCCAGTGAAGAAGTAAACTGCATAATACAGGAAGTGTAAGAGAGCTAGGAATCAGATTGTTACATCAGAGTATTATTACTTACACTGTGATTTTGGATTTATGAATGTCTATGTCCAATTATCATAGCTTACCTATTATAATTTCTCCATTGTTACTGCAATTAACCACAGTATAAGTCACTCCAAATAAAGGGTACTGGGAAGGGGAATAAGACAAAACCAAGCCAATTCTTCCCATTTGGATCTTCAAAGTGCAACCTAATATCCATTTTCACTACCAAGGGAACAAAATCTTCATTTGTCATTCCCTCAAAAGAAAGATGAAAATTTTATACATCGAATAAAACTTGTCAAGGACTTCTGTAGGCTCTAACTCAGTCCCAGGAAAAAGAAAGAAACTAAAAGTAAGTGTGTGTCCACAAATATGGTAAGGTTTTGGTCTAAAGAGGCAGTATGTTGTAATAGACTTGATGTTCAGGAAGTACATCCCAACTTTGTTATTATTTTGCTATATGGCCTTGGTCGTCATCGACTCATCAGTAAAACAGGGGTAATAATTCATGCCCTAACTACTAGCTGATTAGAGTGTATGCTTCTTAAATAATGGAATGTGTCAAATCTTTGAAAACATTTTGAAAATATAAATATCCCTTGTTAGATTTGTTGCACATTTGAATGATAGAGTCCTAATAGGATGGTATTTTCATCTATAAATACTTTTACTACAGGGAAATAAAAGCATATTACAATGTATGAAATCTCCTCTAACAATCTATGCAATAATAAGAATGAAGCAATAGACATATTACAGTGTCTCTATTTCAGGTGCATCTATTTTTAGTTCCAGGGCACATTTTATTTCTTCTTTCTTCCCTTCCCTTCACCTCCCTCCCTCCTTTTCTCTCTCCCTCCCACCCTCTCTCCCTTTCTCTTTTCCTTCCTTCCTTCCTTCCTTCCTTGTTAACCCTTTCATCATATTTTCATAAAATTTTCTAAGGCTATTTCTTGGCTCTTCTCTTAAAACATTATTTTGATTATCAAATCTTAATTGAAAATCTGAAGAAAAAATATCACAAACCTGTTCTTTCCTCTAACAAAAGTCTAGCCTAGGCTCTGCCAAGAATATCTAAAAGTTGTTTAAAATAGCACATTTCTTTATTTGGTTTCAATTGACTCGTACTTCTGTGGACCTGTCAAAATGTTAAATAATAAATTGTTACCTCTGAATCGCTTCTTCCTTGCCCAAGATGCAGTCGAAAAATGTGTTTTAGATGAGTCATTTAACCGGAATAATTTCCCTTTGGATCACTAGAGTCATTAGAGGGGAAAAAATATAAAGCCATGTGAGTAATTTTCCATGTACCTAGGGTTCAATATCTGAAATGTCTCATAGGCCTTCTGCATCACAAGGCAGTTTATTTTAAAATACAGGCACATCCTCCTCTGTGCTTTGGTATGTCCTTCCTCTTGAAGCAGCTGAATGCAGGCTCATCAACTGATGAACGGTGTCAGCCAATACCTCTTGTGCTTGTGTGTCATCATCCTGAGCCAGGAATGAGCATGTCTGCAAAGAGCCAGGCAGAGAGCCCTTCCACCTGCTTGCCATGTCACCTTGACCTTTTCACAACAACACAACAACAAAAGTTATTAACAACAAACAAAATAGCATGTGCACAATGCAAAGGTATGACTTCTCTCTTTGTATGGAGCTACAAGCCAAATCACCCCCCACACATTTGCTGCTGTTGGGGGATTGCGGGGGAGGGGAAGGGAATGTCGCTTTGGCTGAAAGAAGCAGGGGGGTGGGGAAGAGGTGGAGGCAAAGGAGCCGAGGAGGCAGTACTTTGTCTTTGACAGGAGTGTTCCAACTGAGAAAATCATTTCTCGCCCTCGGTGAGGAGCAGGTGAAGAACAGTAACAGGAGAGCGTGTTGTGGGTGACCCTGGCCAGAAATTGCAGGGAGATTAAGACACTCATCAGGAGAGACAGTGCCCTGCATGGTGATCTCAAGCTTTGATTTTTTTTTTTTTTTTTTGGTTAAAGGAGACATTTCAAAAAAAAAAAATGAATAGCCAACATTCCTGCCATCAGCCTGTCCTGCTATTGTATATTGCCTGAATGCTCTGCTAGGGAAATTTGATCAATATATTAGATTCCTGGCAGAAAGATGCTATCGGACAATGCATGTATGCCTTGACATGGCTCAATTTCCATCTATCCAAGAAGGTATTGATTTTCCTGTCACGGAAGTGCACACACACATACTAAGAGCGCTTGCAAAGAATGGGGGTTGGGCAGACATTTATTCAAGAACAGACAGCTCTGCCATTCCCAATGCATTCGAAATACCCTCTGGCTTGGTGACTTAATATTTGGAGGATCTATACAAACTCCTCAGATCAGAATGAAATCAATGGCTGATGAGAAAAAACAGTTTTTCTATGCTCACTCTTTGAATACAAAGAAATCTATCCGCTTCTTCAGGAAATGTGGTCTTGTTGGAATCCTCTTCTAGGCTTACTCCTTAGGAAACAGCTCCCTGAAGCCACATTTTCCTAACTCAACTGGAATTAATTCTGTATTACTTGATCGCAGTCTTCTCACCCAATACCTAGAGGCATATTAACACTTTCTTTATCACTCTATC